TAAACATTCAAAATGGCTACACCCTCAGTCACTTTAAATATCCAAAATGGCTGTACCCTCCAGACTGCAGAAAGTCAACAGCTCAGGATGTCTCCTTCCTTGCTGTTTCCCTTCCTAGTCATAGGCCACCAGCGCAGTTGTCTCTGCAGCCCTTGGTGACCAGGGCTGATCTTTAGGTCAATTCTCAGGTCCCAACACCATTTGGAAATATTCAGGCTGTTGGTCCCATCAGAGTAGCAGATAGTTCACAGCTCCAACCATCTCTTACTCACTGTTTTCGTTCAGGTTTCTCCACTAGTTGGTGCCTAATCCACGTCTGTATAGTTCCTTTCAAAGCTCAGGGCTCCAAAATTGTTTTCTGTATCTCTGTCAATTAGTTTTTCTTTTCTATGTCGAAGAGGGTCTGTGTCACTTGTCTGCCTATTCCTTCATCTTACCAGAAGTCCCTTCTATCTCCTTTTGATGTTTTCTGCATCATTCAATATTTTGCCTGTAGAATCTTTCAGTGTTGCAACTTGAGGCTTGAATTTTTTCTTCAGTTCTTTTAGCTTGCGAAATGCAGAGCATGTTCTGTCCTTTTCGGTTTTCTAAGTCCAGATCTTCGCACATTTTATTACAATAATGGACTTTGTCTTCTCAAGCTGCTCTTTGAAATCTTCTATTCATCTATTTTATCTCGTCATTTTTTCCATTTGCTTTAGCTATCTCCATTCAAGGGCAAGTTTCAGAGTCTCTTCTGTCATCCATATTGGTCTTTTCTTCCTTTCCTGTCTTTTTAATGACCTTTTGCTATCTTCATGGATGATGTTCTTGATGTCATCCAACAGTTTCTCTGCTCTTCAGTCATTGGTGTTCAGTGCATCAAATCTCTTCTTCAAATGGTCTCTAAATTCAGGGGAGATGTAATCAAGGTCATATTTTGGCTCTTGTAGATTTGTTTTAATTTGTCTTTAGTTTCAACTTGAATTTGCATATGATCAGTTGATGGTCTGTTCTTCAATCAGTTCCTGGCCTTCTTTTGGCTGAAGATATTGAGCTTCTCCATCGCCCCTTTCCACAGATGTAGTCGATCTGATTTCTGTGTACTTCTTTGGCAAAGTACATGTGTATAGCCACTGTTTGTGTCATTGAAAAAAGGTATTTGTAATGAATAAGCCATTGGTCTTGCAAAATTCTATCATGCAATTTCCAGCTTTATTCTATCACCAAGGCCATGTTGTTTTCCAGCTACCAGTGATTCATCCCTGTTTCCAACTTTTGCATTTCAGTCACCAGTGATAATTAACATACCTTGATTATATGTCTGTTACCAACTGCAGAAGTTGGTAACAATCTTCAGTTTCCTCATAATTGGCTTTGGTGGTTGGTGCATAAATTTGAATAGTAGTAGTAGTAACTGGTCTTCCTTGTGAGCATATGGATATTATCCTATCACTGACAGCATTGTACTTCAGGATAGATCTTGATACATTCTTTGTGATGATGAATGCCATGCCATTCTTCTTCAATTTGTTACACCTGGCATAGTAGATCATATGGTTGTCTGATTCAAAATGACCAAGACTGGTCCATCTCAGCTCACTAATGCCTAGGATATTGATCTTTACGCATTCCACTTCATTTTTGACAACTTCCAATTTTCCTAGATTTGTGGTTCGTACATTCCATGTTCTTATTATTTATGGATGTTTGCATTCTCATTTTGAGCCGTGCCACATCAGCCAATGGAGGTCCCAAAAGCTTTACTCCACCTACATCATTAAGATCGGCTCTACTCTGATGAGGCAGCTCTTCCCCAGTCTTATTTTGAGTGCCTTCCAACCTGAGGGGCTTATCTTCCCGCACTATATCAGACAATGTTTGAGGGCTATTCATCAAATTTTCCAGTAATATATCAGACAGTGTTTCATTGCTATTCACAATGTTTTCCCAGCCCAATTCTTTTGAGAAGTGGATGGCCCCTTCCTTCTTCCAAGGCTGTCTTAGTCTGGAAGCTCTGCTGAAACCTATCCACTGTGGGTGACCCTGCTGGTGTTTGAAATACCAGTGGCATGGCCTCCAACCTCACAGCAACACGCAAACCACCACAGTATGACAAACTGACAGACAAGTGGTGGATTAAAAAGGAGAAAGCCTAAATTTAATGGTCTAGTTCTCCAACTTAGATAATTGGAAAAAGAACAGAGTTAAGTCCAAAGAAAGAAGGGAAGGAAAATAGGATAAAAACAGAAATTAATGTTATAAATAGCAAACATGGTATATGGGATCAACAGAACAAAAATATGGACTCTTAAAAGGCTGTGAAAATTGACCTACTTCTGAAAGAAGCAATAAAAAATCCAGAACAGGTACAAATAAACAAATACATTTTTTCAAAAATGCACATAACTATAAAACTACTGCCATCATTTCCAACTCATAGCAAGCCTATAAGAGTAGAACTGCCCCGTAGGATCTCCAAGTCTGTAAATCTTTACAGAAGCAGACTGCCTCATCTTTCTCCCACGGAGCAGCTGGTGGGCTCAAACTGTCAACCTTCCATTTAACAGCTGAGTGCTTAACAATTGTACCATCAGGGCTCCTAATTATAGATGTTATCGATACTGAAGAAATAAAAGAGCATATTAAAAATAAAAAATAAGCCAGTAAATTTTAAAACATAAGCCAGTAAATTTTAAAACTTAAGGTAAATGCTTAAGTCTCTAGGAAATAATACAACCTTTAAAAAGTTAACTCAAAAAGAAATTGAGGAATAGTCCTGAAATTTTTAAAGGAATTGAATCAATAGTTTAAAATCTTCCATTTAAAAATACATATATCAGCTCCATGAAGCATTAGAAATAAATTATACTAAGCATTCAAGGAACAGATCATTCCAGTCTTATCAGAGAATAGTAACAGGGAATACTTAACTTTGTTTGTGACTGGCCAACTTAATAGTAAAATAAGACAAAGAGAATACAGAAAAGGAAAATTTCAGGCCAATCTCACTAAAAAAACATAAATTCAAGTACTTTGTAGTACTGTGCTACAAAATTTTTTAACAATCCCTCAGAGAATTTTCTTTGTCTGATCCAGCCTTGTTCTGGTAAGCAAGAAACAATGGATACCTTATATCAAGAAAACCTAGATTAGTTTTAATAAGAATTGTAGTTTCAAATAGTTGTGTTTCTCCTTAGACTACATCACTCAGAGAAAGGACATGTTTATTCGATCTTATAATTTCAAAGCCTTTGTTGTTTTGTTTTTCTCACCATATCCACTTTTTCTTTTTTTTTTCCTTAAAGATACTTGGGAGCCCACAGCGTCTCTGTGATTTGGCAGGACCCAGCTCTACTGAACCAGAATCCAGAAAAAGATCAATTTCAAAAAGAAAGTCACACTTGGACCTTCTCAAACTGTATGGCACATTCCTCTTCTAGTTCTATATTGCTTGGTTAGAAGGCTTTTCTGCTCCTTTTAACTAGTTCAGTCATGGCTAATGCAGCTAAATTGTAACAGACCCAAATTTATAAAACGTGGATTACTGGAATAATAACTGAAATGGTGAAAATCATGGGTTGCAGCCCTGCAATAGGAGACTGACAAGTCGGCCCTTTCAGAAACCTGATGCAGGAGATTGCATTATTGTCGGGAATGTGAAGGCTACACATACTCAAAATGGTGCAGTCCCATTCATCTTTGAGCCAAGCACCATTGCTTCTGAGTCTGCCAATCAAAAGGTTTGGTTGCTATGCAACATGCCCAATGCCCTTGTTTTATAATAACCAAACAAAATCAAACCCACTGTCATTGAGTCAGCTCCAATTCATAGCGACCCCACCTTGGGTTTCCAAGGCAGTATCACTACCGAAGTAGATTGCCCAACCTTCCTTCCAAGGAATGGCTGGTGTGTTTGAACTGCCAGACTTCTGGTTAGCAGTCAAATGCCTTAGACACTACACCACCAGAGCTTTCTGTTTTATAATAGTGAGATTAAATTTCTAGCAAGGTGTTGACTCATAATTTTGTCCATTCCAGTTATCATTCTGGTACATGCACATTTTACAAATTCGAGTCTATGCCAGTTTCACTTTGTTGCCCATGACTGAACTGAGAAAACTCCATTTGAAGGCCATTTTTTAATCTGGTTTCCAAACCCCAGAATTTTTTATGAATATGTCTTACATGAAATGTGACAATTTAATAATGCACCCACAAGCCCTATGAGAAAACTAATCTCAACTTTTTGCAGTCATATAACTTTATATATTTTCATATTGACTTAAAGAAAACCCAATGTACAAAATCATATTTGCAACCAATTATTCATTGGGGTTATTCTGGGGAAGGACTTTTTGATATACAATCCTGAACTCTAAGATCCTTTACATGTAGTCCCCTTTGAAATGGAAATATCTGATTTGCAATAATTGTATTTACATGTACCTCTTCAGGAATATGATTATTTGGTAAAGCAAAGCCCACATGATCATATAGATATTATAACTATTTTCTGCTTGAAAACTAGACATAGTACAAAAGTGAGACTTCTCATACTTTGTCTTTGGGAATGTTATAAATTCCCATCAGGAATTATTCTTTGTTCCAGCCAACTATGAGTGTACATGATTCAAGGTGGGCTGCTTTACCTGGAAGTTTTCTTCTGCTAGCCTGAGCATGTTCATTTCAGTTACTGTTCATTCCTTTACTGCCCAGACTGCTTACAGTCTGACAGATTAGACTGACTGTTTTGAATATTATTTTGTTTAGCAATCTAACCATCCCAGCTCATTTGGAAATATATTTCTGTTTCATGCATTTCTTCTTTTGAACACTGTCCAGCATCATGGATGGCATGACAGAATCATGTATCAAGGGTGGCATCGAAGCTTGCTATGCTGCCGTGGCCTGCGTCTGCACCTTGCTTGGGGCCTTGGATGAGCTCAGGCAGGGCAAGGGCTTGAGTGAGAGTCAGGTCCAGCTGCTGCTTCTGCGCCTTGAAGAGCTAAAGGATGGGGCTGAGTCAAGCCGTGACTCCATGGAGATCAATGAGGCTGACTTCAGGTGGCAGCGGCGAGTCCTGTCCTCAGAACATACATCCTGGGAGTCAGGGACCAAGAGGAGCCCTGACATCAGCATTAGTGTTACCACTGACACAGGACAGACCACCTTGGAGGGAGAGCTGGGTCAGACTACACCTGAGGACCAGTCTCACTACTCTGAAAACCACAAGAATGGCTTCAAGTCACTAGCCATCCATGAAGACAAGGAGACTCTGGGCAAAGTGTCAGAACCAGAAACAGTTGACCAACCCGACGTTGTTCAAAGAAGCCACATGGTTGTTTACCCTGATATAACTAATTTCCTGTCAGTTGACTGCAGGACAAGATCTTACGGGTCTAGATATAGTGAGAGCAACTTTAGTGTTGATGACCAAGACTTTTCTAGGACAGAATTTGATTCCTGTGATCAGTACTCGATGGCAGCAGAAAAGGACTCTGGGAGGTCTGATGTGTCAGACATTGGGTCTGACAACTGTTCACTAGCTGAAGAAGAGCAGACCCCACGGGACTGCCTGGGCCACAGGTCCCTGCGAACTGCTGCTCTGTCTCTGAAACTGCTGAAGAACCAGGAAGCTGACCAGCACAGTGCCAGGCTGTTTGTACAGTCCCTGGAAAACCTCCTTCCTCGGCTCCTGGCTCTCCCCAGCGTAGAAGAGGTGGACTCTGCCCTCCAGAACTTTGCCTCTACTTTCTGCTCAGGTTTGTAAATAAGTCTTTGCTATATAGTCCACAAGAATATTCAGAGCAGTTTGTCTTAATGGGCAATGACCATAATGCTTATATTTTGAAGCACTCAAAGCATTTTAAGGAATCTTTGGGTTTCTTGTGTTTAGAGAAGGCAAAGGAATGTAAGACTTAATGATGGTGGTTTATTTGAATTCTATAGCATTTGATGGCTGGAATTTAGCAGGAGGTGGGTCAAAGGAAGTGAAAAATCAGAGTCGTCTAGAAAGCTGCTGTTGACTAAAACAAACTGATAATCTGTGTTTCTTAAAACATCAAATTCTTGGTATGCTTTCATCCCTTGGTGTCCAAAAATCTTAGAGCAATGCATCTTTGGTGTATCAATATGTAAAATGTTTTGAATGAAGTCTTGGACCAGATGCAGACCGATTCTTCTCAGTATATTTTGAATTCCACTGAATATCCAAACTGTGTAGTGATATTCCAATGTAGCCTGATGACATTACATTCTCTAATCCCTGAGCCTTCCTGTTTGTCAGATATTAGCATTGTGACCAGGCCATATTGAAACAGGAGTGTCATGAGTTATATTGGCCAAGGCACACTGAAAAATTATGCTAGGAGTATTGAAGGGTAGAAAAAATTACCTAGAATTTTTGTGGAAAAAGGAGATAAAAATAAGAGAGTAGCATTTCATACAGTGAGTAATGAATTTAAAGATAGTTCACTCAAAAGGTAACACAGAAAGAAAGCAATTAATGGATGCATGCAATTTAGAGCAGGAATAAATGATTACCTGACATCAGGGAGGTCAGCCATGCCTCCTTCTAAATTAAAGAGCCTCTTGACCACAGACTAGGTGAATGGATTCCAGGCCCGAGCTTGTGTTCAGATATAAAAGTGTGAGCCTGAGAACCAATAAAGAAGTGGTAAAAGCCAAGATCACCACTTGCTCTTCCACGGTGAGCCTTGAACCTGTGTTTGTCATTGTGCATGCATCCACCTTTCACTGGCCATATTTCAGCTGCTTGAGAGGTGGGGCCTTGTCTTGTTTCCCAGCAAAGAAAACACATACACACAAAAAAAATTCTAGACCACTTACTAGAACTTGGTAGAAGCTGAATGCTCTGTTGTTGAGGAATACTTTAGTAAGTATCCCTAAGAAACTCTCTGCCAAGAAAACAAGAAAGAGATGTTTTAATCCGGGTCTACATAAGGAAGATCTTTTTTAATATGAGGATGATCCAAAGTTATAGCACAAATGACTCTGACCTACCTAGAGGCTAGATATAAAGAAAGTCATATTTTTCAATTTTCCAAGCTGCACTGTGATTCTTTATTTTCTAAGTCACAAAATACCAGTTATTAAGGGTACTCAACACTTTTTTCCAATATTTTCTTTTTAAAATTAGATATGAAAATGGTCTTCAGGTTTTTTGTTCATGTGAAGGAATACATATACATACATATAATTCATATGTGATCACTGGAAGACTAGGGAAATGTATAAATTCTCTTCTTAAAAAGTTTTATTTCTCCCTGATGTCTTTTATATCACTATCATTAAATTTGAAATTTTTTTTATTGAACATTTCTGGTGTGTGTGTGTATGTGTGACAAACAAATACATACAACATCCATCTTCAATGAAAATTTATATAGAAGTTACAGTGTGCCGTGTGCTCAGAGTCCAAAGGCATGTATGATTTATTCTCCATAAATATTGATTGATCTTAGATCGATGAAGCTGCTCTTTGATCTCTAAATATGTGAGGTTGTTCATAGATTGAAGGAGTTGTAGGAAAACCTGTAAAGTGAGAGGCAGTTTCACTGCTCTTTGGGGCTGTGCTGGGTGTCTGTACCTCTGCCTCTTTTCAGCTGGAAAATACTCATGGGGAGAAAAGCTCAACAGTTGTGACTGCTATGGCTGCTTGGTGTTCCTTGTGCCAAGGAAGAGGTACCAACACATGCAGGTGGTCCCCAAGAATCGCCATGTGTCAGAGCACAGCATGGACACTGTTTGCAGTAACAATGATGACCTTAGTCATCAAGAAATGGTAAAATGATTTGTAGGATCTTCTATTTAAAAGTAAAATTAACTATGGAGAAAATAATTCAGTTGCCAGTTTTGGCATTTAAATATATAAATATATAAGATTAGTTCTCAGATAACTTTGTATTTATAAATAGCCTTCCCCAGTGCTAGATAAATTAGTTATCACAGTGGCAAAGAATGACTTCCAAGGGACCGTGCCTCATTTCCTGAGAGAATTAGGAAATACAACCCTAGCAAAATCTTTCATCGAATATAGAACTAAAGCCAGTGTAAATTTATGTTGGCCTTTCAAATCAATATTTATGTATTGTATAAGCAGAACAGGGCTGGGGTGAATTTATGTGGTGAGAATGTGGTCGTATGAATGTTGCAAACTACCCAGCTTTTGAAGACCTGTTAAATGCCCAATCAAACTCAAGATGTTGTGTGACATTTTTCACATTTAGAAATCAAAACATTGACAGAAGACTTCAAAAAATTTTGGTTGTTTTGAAATACAATTTTAGTGATTGCAGTGAAGGAGCTCTGGTGGCACACTGGTTAAAGCATTCAGCTGCAAACCAAAAGGTCACCAGTTCAAATGCACCAGCCTGTCCGTGGGAGAAAGATTATGTAGTCTTCTCCTGTAATGTTTTACAGTCTTGGAAACCCTGTGGGGCAGTTATGCTCTGTTCTGTAGGGTTGCTATGAGGTGAAATTGACTAGATAGGTTTGGTTCTAGATGGTGAAGTGAGTTCAGCTTTTTAATTCTAGTGCCATTCACAATGCACATACTGGTTACGAGTGGGCTTCTGTTTCCGAATTACAGGTCCATCTCTCTGTGGTCCTGTCACCAATAAGCTAATCCTCCCCTGTGTCTGCTGTGGTTTCACAGATTGTACTGCCTGTTATTGTGGGGAAGCCAAAACCACTGGCCTGTGTCCACCTCTGAGCTGAGGCACGTACTCTTGTTCTTGCAAATGCTGCCTTTAAGATCAAAAATCAATAGAAAAGAAATGTTTGTATTCTGCTGAGACAAGGGAGATGACAGATTTCCCTCGATCACATCAAGAGAAAGGTAGACAAGTGAAAAGAGGAGAAGGGGGGAACAGAAGAGTCTCTCTCCATAAGTTATAAACCAGGTATTTTACTAATTACTTATTTTGATATTTAAAGCTCCAGACTATATTTTACCAATACCTCCTATGGAGCACTTGTCCCTGACTTGTCATCAGGGGTCTGGTTCTCAGCGGGAGTCACAATCACTTGGCATTTCTCAGTTACTTCCAGCCTCTGACATAATCTGCAGCCAGGAGGGGTCTCTTTGCTGCCTCGCTGCCCCTCCCTCTTTAATTACACAGGGCTCAAGAGAGCCTTTCTTTTGAAAGCAGTTACAATTTCTTCTGGTAGGAGACTTTGGCAACATGCAGGCAAAGATGGTTTTCTTAGTACTTGATGTGAGCTCTGAGGCACAGAGGTGCCTCCCTGACCCTGCTGCAAACAAAGTGGCATCCGTGTCAGGTGACTCCTAGAGGGTCACAGGCATTTATCTTGAGATGGTTGTTCCTGAGATTGCGGTTGCTGTCAAGTGGATTCCAGCTCAAGGGAACCCCACATGTTACAGAGAACTGAGCTCCACAGGGTTTTCTTGGCTGAAATCTTAACAGAATTACATCATCAGGCCTTTCTCCCATGGTGCCACTGGATGGGTTTGAACTGCCAAGCTTTAGGTTTGCAGTCGAGCACAAATGGATCCACCCAGAGAACCTGTTCCTTAAAATACCCATTACCATCAAGTTGATTCAACTAGTGACCCTATAGCACAGAGTAGAACTGCCTTATAGGGTTCCCAAGGCTGTGATCTTTATAGGAGCAGACTGCCACAACTTTTTTGGGCTGCTGGGTTTGAACCACCAACCTTTTGATTAGCTGCTGAGTACTTAACCAATGTGCCACCAGGGTTCCTTTCAGTAATTTTTTAGCATGTAATTGTGCTAATTTACATATGTTTATAATACACCTCAACTCACTGCCCTCGAGTTGGGCCCAACTCATAGCGACCTCTCCTTGGGTTTCTGAATGCCAAAGGGGCAATGAGGCTGCATCTTCTGACCTCTCCTAACCCCACAAGAGGAAGACAGCATCACCATCTGTAGCCCAAGGCCTATTCCTGCGAGGCCAGACATGCTGCCTCCCTCCAGCCTTTTCACCAATTCTGACACCAACCATTCCTCCCACAGCACCCACCACCTCTGCTGGGTGCAAAAACTTGCTGCGGTGTCCACACAGACCTCACAGATTATGGGGTTTATTAGGGAAGCAACAGGCTACAATTCGAGTTCAAGAACACACTCAATCTCTCTCAGCCCGCCATCTCTCAGCTGACAGTCTCTTCCATTCTCTCTCCCAGCAGTGTCTCTCAGTCTCGCTCTCAGCAGTGTGTGTCCCTTGCATCTCCCAGCTGGCAGTGAGAGACTTCTACCTCTTGGAGGCCTCCTTTTGAGCCTGGCAGAGTGACCATACTTAACCAATCCCAACATCAGAATTCTAGACACCTGGGAGAGAGCGAAGTTCCCAGAAAATTCTTCGTGCTGCTCCCAACAGAAATACCCAAGGTGGATAACTTTAACAATCAGGAGCTACTCAGTTGCTCATGGCAAATTCCACCATGGAATTTACAAAGACTTATGGCTAGAAAAGCCATAGTGTGTAATTTACTACACCCCGCTGAGGCAGTATCTCTACAGAAGTAGATTGCCTGGTCTTCCTTCTGAGGAATGGCTGGTGGGTTTGAACCACCAGCCTTCTGGTTAGCAGTCAAATGCCTTAGGCACTACACCACCAGAGCTCCTTATGATACACCTACTCCTCACTTACCAATTTTCTCATTGTCTGACATTTTGCATTTACAACAATAGTAAAAAATCTATTTTGTCCATAACGACATATGTCTGGCAGTAATGAATGCTAAGATGTGAGGCAAGTGGAATGCTGGCTGTAATGGTTAAGATTATGTGTCAGCTTGGCTGGGCCATGATTGTCAGTGGTTTGGAAGTTATGTAGTGGCATAATTTGGCAATTATGTAATGATGCAGTCATCCTCCATTTTCTGCATAATGCCAATTTTTGTATAACTACCTGACTTTGGAAATCTAACTGTCTTGACAAGTGAGGAGTGAGTATAATATTAATAATTTACATTAATCTAGTACTTCCTATGTCTAAAGACTTTACGTTTATTAATTTGGAAGGAAGGTTGGGCAATCTACTTCCCTAATGATACCACCTTGGAAACCCAAGGAGGGGTTGCTATGAGTTGGGACCGACTCGACGTCACATAACAACAACAATTCATTTAATACTTATAACAACCCCATAAGGTAGATAGTAGTAATAGCCTCATTTTATAGATGAGAAAACTGAGGCCTAAGGAGGTTAAATAGTAAGTCATCCAAATTACACATCTAGGAAGTGGGAATGCCAGGATAGGAGCCTAAATAGTCTGACTCCAAAGTCCATGTTACACCATGTATAGAGAGAGAAATAGAAGGATACTTAGATAATAAGCAAGGGACAGAAAGAGGATGAATATGCTGTTTATATAATTTTGTAACTTACTTTCCACTTAATATCTTGTTAGCTCTTTTATGTCTTTAAATAAATGTTCTTTGAAAATATGGTTTATGGTCCTATAAGTTTATGTGAATGATCAGAATCCCCAGGTGTATAGTAGAGCTGACAAGGGGCAAGGTTGTGGTCACTGCTTGGTCACAGCCAGCTACCC